CCTGAGGAGGATCACAGGAGACCAAGGGGGCACCTATTCAGGTGGTTCAACAAAAAAAGTGGTTTTGTTTTTTGCAGACATGCTCCACTTTTCGGGGGGAGGTGTTTATGTGTTTGTATTTCAGGCAGCCTCATGAAGAAAATAAGACTCTTTGAATCCACTTAATACAAACCCCAGTAGATATCCAAACCCCAGAAGACAAGAAAAATTATTCTGAAAAATAAATACTGCACCTCCCCCTCTACGACCATTCGCTCCATTTTCAAATGCTCCTTCACAAGGACCTCGCCAGAGTCAAATTACACTTGAACGTCTACATATGGCCTGCAATTAATGCTCATCAGTATAATCACAATCATAAGTTCAATGGTTTCCTAGGGACAGAACTTTCAAATCACGAAGGCTCGATGAAAGGCAGCGCTTTCTTTTTGGGGCACGTGTTGAACCTCATAGTCTTGCTTCTTGGCCATATATCCATTTCATGACCTGAGGAAATTATACAAAAGGGAAGCAAAACCATTTGCACTGGGACAGCGAAGCACAGGACTGAGGGCACCTATTGAGAGGCAGATCAATAAACCTTGTTTCTTCCACCTTATCTTCCTGCAAGGGGCAGCGACCCCGCCCCTCCAGCAATGGTACCTCCTCTTTCTGGTTTTGCTCCAGCCTGCGCTGGTTCAGCCAACCTGACAAATGCCCAGATGCCCCACTTCCCCATGCTGAGCTAGTCCCCAAGACTCAAGCAGAGATAAAGTCCTCTGTATCTGCCACTTCCCAGATGTGTGACTTTTGGCAAATTACTTCCTCTGAGAGTCTTAGGAGCCTAATCTTCTAAAACGGGGGTCCCAACAGTGACCTTTCAGAGCTGTGAAAGGTGATGGAATAAGCTGAGTTAAGCCCCAGCTCAGAGCCTACACCACACCCCACGGCCACCAGATACAAGGAGCCTGTTCTCAGAGCCTTGACCTCATTCCCAGGGTGCCCGCAGCGGGCCGTAGGCCAGGTCAGAGGGGACGCTGGCAGGGTTTCTCAATGCAGGTGTTATTGATGTTTGGGGCAATTCCTACTCTGCAGCGTTGTTCCTCTCCCTGCAGAATGTTTAACCCCTCTGGCCACAGCTCCCTAACTATCTGTAGAGAATGTCCCCTGTTCCCCAGCATGGCAACCACCAAAAGTGCCCCATATATGTCCAAACACCCTTGGAGAACACCACTCCTAGGGGGGAACCATAGCCAAAACCTTCTCCCTGCCAGATAGGAATGAGAAGGGAATGCCTCCCCTCAGCCTCAGTGCATCTGGCAGAGAAGCATTCTGTCAGGAGCCCTTCAAGAAGAGGTTTGTTCATGACCTTGCCATGGGAGCGGCTCACTCCCGCAACCACCCACAGAACCCCCAAGGTCCCCATTGTCCTCATAGGGGACTTCTAAGAATCTCTTTAGTCTCCAGTACCATAATGTGAATTCCTTTACTAAGTCCTTTGACCTGGAAGTTTTTCACAATTAACAGACTAGAAGAGGAGGTAATTCCTAATGATAGAATGTCAGACAGCTGAGGAAAGAAGAGATTGGGGGCTGCCAGGACCTCATCAGGATTCTTCTCTCACATGGTAGGAGGGCAACTGTCCACCTACTCCACCTGCTAAAAGGCATAACTAGCTGGCAACCACAGGTGTGGGCTACAAGATAGCTGTCCGTTCTTAAAGCAAGTCCTAAGTGCCACACACTGATATGAGTCCATATGCTTAGAAGAAATATTTGTAACATACATGACAGATAGCACTTGCAAGTGTTTATATGTAAATAAACAAATATAGATGCTCCTTGACTTATGAAGGGGTTACATCCCAATAAACCCACTGTAAAGTTGAACCATCATAAGTAACCCTATGCACATATTTGTATATATATATACACACACACAAACGGACACGAAGAGACATATGTACATGTGTATATATAATGCATATTATTAGCATATATTAAGTTTATAATTATTATGATTAATATATAGTATATTAAAATAATTACTACACAGTTATTATAATTATATATTATTAATAAGTTGGTTATATTATAATAAATATATATTATATACATTAAGAATGATTGAAAATTAATGATAAATGATGAACTCCTCCAAAGGAAAAACAAACAGGCAGAGAGTATAAAAAGACAATTTTAAAAAAGAACTAAAATAACTTATGGAATTGAGATACCACCTACTACCTCTCAAACTAGCAACTTTTTAAAAAATTATAGTGCTCAGCATGCATGAGAGCGTGTAGATATAATACCTTGAAGCATTGCTGGTGGGAGTATAAGTTGGTAAATCTTTCCAGAGGGCAGTTAAGCAATATGTTTTACAGTTGTCAAATATGTTCATACTCTTGGACCAAGCAATTACACTTCTAGACGTTTAGCCTTTAAAAGTATTCATGGATGTATTCAAAGATTTGGTGTTTCAGCATTATTTATTATAGTAAAAAATAAAAGCAACCTAAATGGCAAATGATAGGAGATTGATTAAACAAATACATATATATAGCAGGAAACAAAACCGATAGGATATTATTAAATAATAGATTTACAAACACTATGATTGTATTTTGTAAAAAAAAAAAGTATATGTATGCAAAAAACTACTGGAAGTATATATAAGAAATATTAGTATACCATTGGGTGACAAAATTATAGATGATTTTATTTCTTTCTTTGTGATTATCTGTATTTTCTAAAACATCTATCTTGGCCAAAAATTTCTAAAATATCTCTCTGGCAATTACTAATTTCTACTTTCTAAAATGGTTATGTATGAACATATCGCATGACCCCAAAGGTACACATTCCTTGAATACAGGTTCTAAGTCTTCATAACTCCCCATAATATTAGCTTAGTGCCTTGAATAATTGCAACAATTACCATTTATTGAATGTTTGCCATGTGGCAGGCATTGTGCTCAATTGTATCTTTTAATACAGTAAAATTCAATAAACATCTGTTGAAGGAGGGAGGGAGGAAGGATAGTTGGAAAAAGGTGAATGAATAAATGCCCAGAAACCTGAAATAAACTGGCAGCTATCTCACTTAGAAGAGACCAGCTCATTTTGGGGATCTTTTCTGACCACCAGACCACACCAATCTGATAGATCTTCTCTTCTAATGGGGAGGGAAGGTGTTAGGAGGATAAGGACCACACTATGATCCTGGATTTTAGGAAGCCACACTTTTTGGAGGCTAAGATCTCTTGGGAACTTACCAGGTAAAACTTAAAAATTACTTTTGAAAGTTTTCTTACATAGAGTTAAGAAAACCAATATTAACATGACAATGACATATTAATGAAACACTTTTAACTTTGAGAACCTTTAATTCATTTCTACAAACACTCCCTTAGCACCCACCATCACCCAGTTTGAGAATAAACGATAAGCACAGTCTCATCCTTAAGGAATTTGTAATGCCATGAGGACTACCAGCAGGTGCCTAAATAACTGACTGAAGGCAGGGTGTGAGCTCTATTAGAGCAGTCCAGGACTTAGGTAGCAGAGTGCAGAGGGAGAAATTCTTTCTGATGGGGATGGAGAGTGGAGGAGGTGGTAAGAGAGAGCCGGCATTTGAAGGACAGACAGGATTTCTCAAAGCTGAGCTGGGCAGGGGAATGGCATTCTTGGCTGCAGGAACAGCGGAACAGCGTAGGCAGAGGCTCTGAGGGGTGGGATACAGTACGTTTGGGAAGGACAAGTGTTCAATCCATGCCCCAGAAACCTTGGGCTAGTTGATTAAGAGCGAAAGTGGCCCAAAGATGAGCTCCTCTTCTCAAACTCTTCCTGCCCCTGCCACTTTCTCACTACACATGCAAGCAGACATAGCCTACCAAAAAGCGAAATAATATACCCCCTCATTGTCAAAGGCTTTGGATTAAGTTCAGATGAAGGCCACAGTAACTTGAGTGCTCTCGGGGGTAGGAATCCCAGGGAAGCTCCTAGGCACCTGCTTCTGCCCTGCTGTTCTCCAAATGCTGGCATTCCAGAGAGGAAGCCTCCAGGGCAACACCTGGGACTGGGTGCTACCCACCTCCCAGGAAGATGGGGAGGCAATCCCTTGACAAGTTGTTTCCAAACACTTACAGCATGGAACCGATAGTAAAAGGATCAAGTACCTATCTCTTCAAATGCTTGTCCTCCAGAGGGTCAGCCCTGTGGTCCTGCCCCCTCAGGACACCTCCAGCTCTCTGTGGCCCCCCTCTTGGTCAATGGTTTGTGGAGGAAAGAAAACAGGAGCCACTGGGAGTCTACAGGGCAGGAGAGGAAAACTCCACCACGCAGCTCAGGAACATCACAGCTTTCTCTATAATATTTTAGTAACATGATACATTATCCCTCCCTCCCTGCCTGCATTTTTTTTCTTTCTTTCTCTCTTTCTCCACATATCTCTTTTTCCTTGTTTCAACTTTTGTAGAAACTATTGTTCAAAATCAGTGTCTCTCTCTCTTTAAATCTGTGTCTGTCCCTCAGGCTCTGAATGTCTCGTTTCTATCACTGTCTCTCCACGTCTCTGTCATTCTATTAGCCTGTGTCTTGGTGTCTGTCTCCGTATTTCTGACCTGGTCTTTCTATTAATGTCTCCTTGTCTAGATGTTCCTGCCGGCGTATCTCTCTCTCCCCCTCTCCCTCTCTCTCTCTCAGCGTCTGTCATGTCCACGTCTTTTTGTCACTTTGTCTTCCCCCTCTCGGTATTCCTATCTGCATCTCTCCATCTCCGTGTCTCCATCCCCGTTTCTCTCCCTCCTCTCTCGCTTGCGTTACTAAAATCGCAGCAAGGAAATAGCAGTTGAGGTGTGAGCCTAAAAACCAGCTTGGGCGGGATGCCAGGTAGGAGCCAGCGAGGGTTCCGCGCGGACAGCACCCCTCGCCCAGCCCGACCCCTGACCACCCCCTCGCCGCCACAGGAAAGGGTGCTTGCCCAGGCCAGGAGTCGGACTGGGGGCGGAAAGTTCTCACCGATGGTGAAGCTGTAGCCATCGATGCTGAAAGTGGCGCTCCGGCATTTTTTGAAGCCCTCCTTCCTGTTGCTGGCGTCTGTCATGGCTCGGCCGGCCGGGTAGGGGCAGCGCAGCGCGGCCAACGACGTCCCGGGGTTCCCCCGCGGCTGAGCGCGCAGCCGGGTGCCCGCGCGCCGCGCGCTGTCACCGCAGCCCCGCCGCTCGCTGAGCCCCGCGCGCCGGCCGCAGGCGCGGGGACCAGTGTCAACTAACACGCCCGGCGCTCGGCGGAGTCAGCGAGCCACCGCGACGGCCCCATCTCCACTCCAGGCTCCAGGCGCGGCGAGAGGAGCCTTAATAAAGGGAGGCGACGCGCCCGTGCGTGTGCAGGGGGCCGGGGCGTGTGCGCCGAAACCCCCGCCTTGGCCACTCTGCTCTGCGAGCCGCTGCAGCCCGCGCGCCACAGTCACGTCTGTTTTCTGTCTCAGCTTCTCCTTCCCTCTCTGCGCGCTAGTGGGGTTTGGGGGCCCAAGGGAACGGCTGAGATTTGGCGTCGTGCTTCTCCTAGATATGTTTTCTCCGGCAGGCCGAAGAGCTTCCAAAAAGCACATCAACAGATGGAAAAGCAAACATCTTAGCCGTCAGGCGTGGCCAAAGTTTACTCCAAACAAGGAAGTCGGGAAAATCGCCACGCCCACTTCCTCCTAACAGCTGTCCCCAGAAGTAGCCTGGAGGCCGGATGAAATTACTGCCCGGAAGATAAGTATTCAGGTAACCTGTATTCGTGGACGAGCGCTTTCTCACGGAGGCTCTAAAATGTGCGGTTTACAGCCGAATTACAACGCGCCCCTTACAATCCATTTCGAATAACTTGTCCCGTTCTTTCGAATTTGGGTTTGCCAAATATGATAGACTCCTGGAATTTGCGGAGGTGGGAGAGATCCTACCAGTCCCATAACTAACACTCTTGTTACAGAAGAGGAAACTGAGGCTGAGTGGGGCTTGAGGAAGGTGCTACAGCTGGGAAGCAGCAGACATTGGTTGCAGAAGTTTCACTTTATGACAGCAAGTCTGTCATTGGTTTTTCCAGTGCCTGAAATAACTGATTAGGCAGGTTTATATATGGAAGATCATTCCCTCCAACCAGCAAGCAGTTACTGAGGATTTACAGTTGCAGTGCTCTGTGTCAGGGGCTGAGACCATAAAAAGAGACCAGTGCTTAGTCCCACAGAGAAGTCCACCCAGTGTAACATGTGGAATGGCAGCGCTATGCTCAAGCTATTGTGAGACTACAATTAATTTAACTTCATTTGTTGTTATAAAATTTGACACAATTAACAAACATATGCCAATAGTAAGAGTCCACCAGATATATTCCTAATTGGTTCCAGTTGAGTTTAGAGGCATCCATAAGTCTTCAGAATCTAATAAAAATGAGAAACCCTCTCCAAAACTATGGCAGTATTCTACATACAATTTCAGGGGACCCATTAAAGTCTGAAGTCCAGTGAAACCCTGGTTAATGCTTGTCTCAGGAATTTAATCTTTTTTGAGTCACCATATATTTTTAAAGAAATAGATTTATGTCAGAGTGTAGTTGAAACTTCAGTTCTCTTAGGGAAGACCCAGAACCACATTCACATTGATACTTTGGTTAGGTCAGAGGCAAGATTAATTAATCATAAAGGCAATGTGTGCCACAAACCTCGTGCCACACAAAATGGTACATCTCAGCATGGAGCCAGGGGGTGCTTCAAGCCATGGAGTAGTCCTTGAGAGACTGTAAGGCCCATGTCTAGAACTCGTTATGACATGGAGGCATGACGAGGGCTTTACAGACAGACAGACAGACCTGGATCTGAAATCTGGCTCCACCACTACCCACTACATGACCTTGAGCAAGATGCTTGACCTCCCTGAGCCTCACTTTCCTCATTTTACAATGAGGATTAAGTGAGAATAAGAGTGTAAAACCTAGGCACATAGTGGGCATTCACTTAATGCAACTGCCAGCTCACTCCCAAGTTTCATTATGTAGACACCATGGAAAATTCTTCCCTATGACAATAATGTATTTCAGTCATTGTTACCATTAACTTTATAAGTAAAGAGAATTTTTATATGTAACATTTTTATATATATTATGTATTTTTAAATATAGTAACTGCTGAAAGTTTTTTGTAGTTCCCATTTCCCTGCATTTCTCCCACTTTCGCAAACCTTTAACTGAAGCATGTGTTTTTTTGTGCCAAAATAAGTCCTCAAATGAAGAGCCTGAAAGCCCTGAGTTATATAATCTCCTGTAGTAAATTATCAAAAAAAAAAGTCTATTGCAATAGAAATTTTTTCTTGAGTGAGTGAAATTAAAACTTGGTATTTAATCACTCTTAACAGAAAAGCTTCTTGAAATATAACCTATAAACATAAAAACAATGTGATCATTTATCTGTCCCCCGAAGTCTGGTAAAAATAACTTGCCTGAATAATTATAACTGTTTTTAAACTGCTTCTCCCCAGAATCATTATCTCTTTCCCTGGTTTTAGAGATTACACACCTACAGAACCACTAAATGCACCACTTCAAGTGCAAAGTCTGAAAGCAGCCTTCTCAGTGCAGGGCTCTTACACTAAACCAAGCGCAGTTGAATGCTAACGTTACATAAGCCAAGAAAGAATGAGTTCAAGAATGAGATCAAAAGAAGCATTGCTGTGCTTGCTCTTTCACAAATGCTCCCTCAAGAGAGCCTGTGAAGTAAGAAAACTGAACCAAGACAGCCAAGCAGATGTGTCAATCCTCTGCTCTGGTAGTTGGAGCAGGATTTGGCAAATTGATGCCAGCAGGCCAAATTGAGGCCATCGCCTGTTTTTTGTAGAGTCTGCAAGCTCAAAATGGCTTTTACATTTTTAAGTGATTGGAAAAAATTCAAAAGAAGAATAATATTTTGTGATACATTAAAACTATATGAAATTCAACAAATAAAGTTTTATTGGACCATGGCTATGCTCGTTTATTTACATATTATCTCTGGCTGCTTTCACACTGCAAAGGCAAAGTTGAGTAGTTTTGCCTGAGACCACATGGCCTGCAAGGCCAAAAATATTTATTATCTGGCCCTTTATATAAAGTGTTTACTGACCCCTAAAATTAGAATAAGCATACCTTATTATCTGTCAAGGTTTAGATGACTTCTAGTTTTATTATATTTATTTTAAAATTTGGATTTGGAAAGGAAGTGATCTTTTTTAAATTATTGGAATGTATTCTAACAAGGAAGGCACAGCAACAAATGTGGAAGGAAGGAAGGAAGGAAGAGGAGGGAGGAAAGAAGGTACACTGATCCAGTCATTAGCCAAAACAAATTGGGTTAAGATTAATTTCTCCAAGAAGTAATGTGTGATCCTGTCTTCATCACAATAAAGTAGAATAGAAGATGAACCCAATACCTACATAGGACCAAGTGGTGCTCTTCAAATATAACAACTATATATGATACATGATATAATATTAAAAAAAAAAGAATCTGGCAAGATACTTCTCTGACTTAGGTGCTAATATCCTGTCCTTTGATTCCCCCTGTGGATCTGATGGTGGATTCTACTACATGTTTCTATATAAGAAAAAGGGTATTAATGGCAAGTGCTTGTTGCTCATTGGTTTTTCACTTTTAATGTTCTATAGGATGACAACATTTTACTCTATATATAGAATATATGAGTGAAAAGTACACTTTCTAAGAAAATAAGTTTATTTTTCATACCAGAGAGAAAACAACGCCCCAGCATTTTATTAAGGCATTTCAACCATTCTCAGGTAGGAAGCTGAGAATTCTCCTAGCAGCCAATGGTCCAAGAATTGTAAACCCAAGTTGCCCCAATAAGAGCGTCGTGCACACCCCTTGTGGACACCTATCGGGCTGTCTGACAACCACTCCAAATTCTGGGAAGGGCCCCCTCCGTACACATGATCACAGAAATGGCTGCAGGCAATAAAGTTTCTGAACTGCAGCCCTGCTCCTCTGGCTGTAATTGATGGGACCCAGATTGGCTAATGAATACCATTGCTGGGAATAGGAATTGGGAGAGGTGAAGAGAAAGTTCCAGTATATTCCAGGCCCAGTTCCAGCTGGTGTCTCCAAATCAGCTCCTCCCAAATTCCATGAGATGCCCTATACCTACATACTATACCTTTATACTATAATCCCTTTTTGTGAGTGACCCAGTGTAAGTGAGTTTCTGTTGCTTGCAATCCAGAGTCCTAACTAATGTACCAAACAAGCTCCCTTCAAGGAGGGAAGTAAAGGAGAAAGAAATGAACAGGGAAAATAAAAAATCAAACTAACATTTGAGTGCCAACTATGTGCTAGGCATTGTGCTAACCAAAAAACAGTCCCTGCCTTTAAAGAGTTTACAGGAAGAGTAAGTCCCAGAACAATCCGTGGAATCAGGTGTCAGAATGAGAGAGCGGTCACAGAGTCTGTGTCTATGGATGCAGTTCCTCTTCAGCCCTCACCAATACCCATCTTGGTTTCATTTTACTTCTGCTTTATTGTTTCCCTAGAGTCCAATCTTTTTTTCTTGTGTAAATGAGACCCAGGAATGTCAGAGACAGATGGAGAGGAGATAAAGCAAAATGCCTACATACTTGAGGGCCCAAAAAGGTGCCACAAAGGCATTATATGCAATCAAAATGTTTATATTCCCATAATATTCTGAAATAAAAAATTAAAAAAGATACCTGAAAGGCCCTAGTGGAGATTACAGAATTCTATTTCCACAATGAAGCAGTTCTTCTTTGTGTTAAGGCTGGCCTCCTGTTCATTCTTAACTTTTTTCTGAGTTTATATATTATTAGCGCATCTGTCAAGGTCACTATTCTTCAGTATCTGCCTTCAGGGTCTCAAAAAATAATAGCTGAGAATACCCAGGCCAATGCTCTCCCCATAACATTATGTAGCAAATACAGTAAATCATATTTCTTTTCTGCACTAAGAATTTGGGGAGAATTTTCTGATAGCCTTTTAAGTTAGATTTTTAGAAGTGGAGACATTCTGCAGTGGGGGTGGGGGAGACCAAAACAACTGTCTTTAATTTCTTTTCCATAATCCAGAAAATCAGGTCTGGAATGTTGTTTCCCCTCAGCCCACCAGGTCTGCCTAGAGACATCCCTCCTTGTCTTTCATGTCTCCACTGATGTCCCTGGTCCTTTGGAAAGCACTTCCTGTCTGACCTTCCTGAGGGGAGGCGACCACCCTACTTGAAGCCTCCATTGGACCCCCATATGCCGTACTCACAGTGCTCATTTGCACGCTGGTCTCCTCGTGAGGAGATGGACCACTGGGTCTTCCAGCCCCAGCACAGTGCCTGGCACAGAGTAGGCCCCCAGTAAAACATTTGATGAATTAGAAAGTGAACAAAGATGCACAATGCAATGCTGTGTGGCCAGGATGTGATGTGACTGGGGCAGGACAGTTGGCTCTGTCAGTCACTCTCTCTCTCCTCTCACCCTCTATCTTCCTCTATGATGAGCTTTGGAGCCAATTCAAAACACAGCTCCATGATAAATAGGTTAAAAACTTCTAAAATTAATAAAATGAAACAAAAAGCTCCTCTAGTTGCTAGCTGTGTGACCCTGGGCTAGTTGCCTAGCCTCTCTGAGCCTCAGTTTATTCTTTTGAAAA